CAGGTCAGACTTGAAACACACACACACACACACACACATACACATACACACACACACACACACACACCTACACACACGGTTCTACAGAATTAAAAAAGAAAAACGCTGAGAGGAAACTACTTCTTGAATGTGATAAAATACATTTTGTTGAAAACAATGTTATTTAAAAGTAAGACCCTTTGCTATCTTGATAATTTGTCTTTTGGTTTCTGAGGAAAATGTGTCAGATTCTTCAGAAGGGTCTTACAATACATATAATAAATCATGTATTACAAAACCAAAGAGATTCATAATGAACAAGATAAAGAAAAGCCACTCCGGGGGTCTGGGGTCTTAAAAGCTTGCAGGCGGCCATCTAAGATGCATCAATTGGTCCCAACCACCTGGAGCAAAGGAGAATGAAGAACACCAAAGACCCAAGGAAAGTAGTAGCCCAAGAGACAGAAAAGGCCACATAAACCAGAGACTTCATCAGCCTGAGACCAGAAGAATCAGATGGTGCCTGGCTACCACCAATGTCCACCCTGACAGGGAACCCAAAAGAGAGTCCTGGATGGAGCAAGAGAAAGCTGGGGTGCAGAACTCAAATTCTAGTAAGAAGACCAGACTTAATGGTCTGACTGAGACTGGCGGTACCCCGGAAAGCATGGCCCCTGGATTCTCCATCACCCCAGAACTAAAACAATTACCGAGGCCAACTCTTCAGACAGGGATTGGACTGGACTGTGGGACATAAGGTGATACTCGTGAGGAGTGTGCCTCTTAGCTCAAGTAGATCCAAGAGACTAAATGGGCAGCTTCTGTCCGGAGGTGAGATGGGAAGGCAGAGAGGGTTAGGAGCTGGTTGAATGGACATAGGGAATCGGGTGGAAAGGAGGAGTGTGCTGTCACAGTATGGGGAGAGTAATTAGAGTCACATAACAGTGTATGTATAAATTTGTGTATGGGAAAAAACTCAAAAAAGAAAAGCCACTCCGAAAGCTGCAGCCTGAGATTTAGGGATAGCCTGTTGCTCAGAGGTAGAGCTTGCTCCTCCCAAGGAGAATGTTCAGGACACTCCTCACCTCAATACTTCCCAGCTGAGTGGGGCAGTCTTCACTTATCCTTCAAGATCTTGGCTGCAACAGAATCTATTTATTTAAAAATTTAAGGATTATTAAAGCTCTACCATAAGAACTGTATATTGATATTGGGAAACTGTTAAGTGAAAAAGAATTTACCAAACAGTGTTAGAATGTGACAGGATTGCCAAATGGTCTAAGGTGCCAGACTCAAGTTCTGGTTTCCAGATGGAGGCATAAGTTCATACCCTACTCCTGACATGGTTGTACTTTATCTCTGGGATCCCTGGTGGTGTAGCGGTTAAGTGCTACGGCTGCTAACCATAAAGGTCGGCAGTTTGAATCCACCAGGTGCTCCTTGGAAACTCTATGGGGTAGTTCTACTCTGTCCTATAGGGCCGTTATGAGTCGGTATCGACTCAATGGCAATGCGTTTGGTTTTTTCTTTTTTTTAGTATTAGGACATAAAATAATTTTTTGGCAAAATGGACAACAACAACACGAAGTTAATATACATAAAAACCAAACCCATTGCCTTCAAGTCGATTCTGACTCCGCGACCCAACAGAACAGAGTAGAACTGCCCCATAGTGTTTCCAAACAGCAGCTAGTGGATTCGAACTGCTGACACTTTTGTTAGCAGTCATAGCTCACTGTAGCTCTTAACCATTGTGCCACCAGGGCTCCATACATACATAGCCATAGCAAATACATTGAAAAGACGTATACTAAAATGTTAACAGTAGCATGCTCTGAGGGGTGGTTTTTATCTTACTACTTTGTGGGTTTTTGGTGTGCTTTCCAAGTTTTCTGGACTGAATTTACTAATTTGCAATTAGAATAAAATGATTAAAAAATGAAAGCCATGGTCACTATACCAAATTTTTAATTAAATGCAGCAGATTGTGGTAAAGGATACATTTATGTATTTTTGGAACAAGTTATTAACAGAAATTCAAAGGAACAAATACACTGTCATGGAACTCCCGTGCTAGAGAGAGACATCTAGAAGTATTGGGGGCCCTAGGGAGGGGCACTTGGGTGCCCCACAAATATTTTTTAATGAAGTCTGAAGGGTAGAAGGAAGGAGGGAGGAAGAAAGGAAAGGAAGAAAAAAAAATACGCAGATCTGAGACAAGACAGTACCAGGAGGTGCTGAGTGATAAGAGGTTGGCCAATATTAATTTCATTATTTGGCATCTTTTTTTCTTTTGGGACATGGGAGGCATATTCGTTTCCTATTGCTGCTGTAACAAATTAGCACAAATTTACTGGCTTAAAAGTATACAAATTTATTGTCTTACAGTTCTGGAGATCAGAAATTCAAAAATGGGTCTCACGGGCTAAAATCAAAGTGTTGGCAGGGTTGCATTTTCTCTGGAGGCTCCCTTTTCCAGTTTCTAGAGGTTGTGTGTGTTCTGTGGCTTGTGCCCTGCCTTCCAGCAATGGTATCACTTGGCCCTGTGCTTCCCTCATCACATCTCCCTCTCTGACCCTGACCCTACTGCCTCCCTCTTATGATGACCCTTGTAATTACGTAGGGATTAGTGGTTAAGAACTTGGCTGCTAACCAAAAGATAGGCAGTTCCAGCAGTTCAAAGTCAGCAGCTGCTCCTTGGAAACCCTATGTGTTCTACTTTGTCCTATAGGGTCGCTATGAGTCAGAATGTACTCAATGGCAACGAGGAGGAGAAGGACCAAGGTAATCCTGAGGCCCTAGTGGCACAATGCTTAAGCACTCAGCTGCTAACCAAAGGTCAGCGGTTTGAACTCACCAGCCCCTCCGCAGTAGGAAAGACCTGACGATCTGCTCCCGTAAAGGTTACAGCCGAGAAAGCCCTATGGGGCACTTCTACTTTGTCCTGTAGGGTCACTGTGAGTCAGAATCGACTTCATGGCACACAACAACAACTCAGATAATCCAGTATGATCACTCCATCTCAAAATTATTAATTTAATCACACCTGCAAAGTCCTTTTTTGTTATCTAAGGTAACATAGTCACAGGTTTTGGCGATTAGGACATGGACGTCTTTTGGGGAGCCATTATTCAACATATGACAAAAGGAAGCCAATATGTATAACTGAGCTATTGCTAATTGCACTGCTAAAGGAGCAAGGTGGGCAAACCCCACCTTTATCACTAACTGCGTGGTAAGGATCACCATGAATCCGATTCTCGTCTGGAAGTGGACCCAGGCTCAAAAAATTCATGGAGACTGTTACCTATACTTACAGTTACCTATCTATTATAACTAGAAAGGATACAAGCAAAGAGACGCATCAGACAAGGTCTGGGAGAGTTCTCCGCATGAGGTTTCCATTTTCCCCAGGAACGTGCCACACCCTTTCCCATACATGGATGTTTTCACTAATCCAGGAAACCCCAAAAAGAAAGTCATTGGGACCTTGAGGAATATGCATGACTGGAGCCTTGATACATATGCATGACAATGAATATGTATGATAGAAATGGAATGTGTAGCAATTGCCTCTATGAACAACTGCCTCCTTTGCCATGAGACCAGAAGAACTGGATGGTACCCAGCTACCATTACTGACCATTTTGATCAAAAATTCTACAGCAGAATCTTGATGGAAAGGGGTATACAACGGAATTTCAAATTCCCATGGAATTCAGACTTTCTGGAGCCCTGGAGGCTGCATGAATCCCTGAAAATATTGCCCTAAAATAATCTTTAAACCTTAAACCAAAAATATCCACTGAAGTCTTCTTAAAACCAAACAATAGTTTAGCATAACTAGTAAAGCATGTCTGCCTTGAGCATTATGCTCTTTTACGATCTATCTATATGGGATCAAATTAACAACAGCGACTTGAAATACTAGATAGGAGCCTTAGCAGGCAATGAGTTTACGCTAATGGGGAAGGAACGACTCAGAAAAGGAAGGTGAGAATGGTCGCACAACTCAAGGAATGTAATCAATGTCACTGACTTGTAGAAACTTAAATTGGTGTATGTTTTTGCTGTGCGTATTCTTAACAACAACAACAAAATAAAATAAATTATTTTTTAAAATGTATGATTGACTCCATCATGCCCCCTCTCTTTCTGAGGACTCATTTACACATGTTTAAGTGTTGCTTGGCTATTTTAGAAAACAAAGGGGCACCTTGATTCCTGGAGAATTCCAAGGGCTATTTTCAGAAACCCGAGACAAAAGGCCAAACCGAGTTCTTTGTCCCACGGTAGTTCTATAGCTCAGTTTGGGATTCTGCCCAAGGTCATAGTAGCTGAGATGCAAGCTCAAGTTCAACCCCAGCTCAAGCCTGACCTGCCTCACCGCCATGCCTCCATTTGTCTCTGCCATCGGCCTCTACTTCCTCTTTCCTGTCTGGGCCTGTTCCCCAGCTCCCTGAACAAGCTTTAACTGATGTTTTCCAACTTGTTATAGCTCCTGATGATGACATAGCCACAGCTTGATCCTGGGGATTTTCCCATTGATAATTACACAAGGCAAGTGGCTGCCCCTCAGAATCTGAAGTTTTCTTCTTGCCTGCCTTTATTCAGCAAACATTTTTTTGAGCTTATTGTGCTGTGTGCTGGAGCAGCAGGAAAGACAAATGTAAGCTAAAAATTACAGAATAATCTAAGGTGATAAATGCGACATCAAATGTATGGACTATAGCACTGTAGGAAGCCGGAGCAGAGTTTCAAACCCTGGGAACTTTGCATGAATCTTTCTCACTGATGCTTGGGCAAAATCTAAGGTCAAGGGAAGAAGCAAAGGCAGCAAACTTGAGCTCCTGCGGGACCAGGCATTATTAATCTTTGTATTTCCTGTGCCTTGCAAATAACTGTGCTCCATAAATCTTTAAAAGTTGGGAAAAGAGTCAAGGCAAGCACAACAAAAGGAACAAGCTGTATTTGAGACCAACAAAGGGTTGAAATTTACCGTGGAAGGCGGCAATGCTTTCATATTGTTTCTCTGTTGTATCTAGCAACCGGTGACACTCAATATTTTCCCTGTTCTTATTGGAAGGGGGCCCTGGGTGTTGCTCAGTTGCTGAATTACCCGAGAGTGGGTAGAGTGTGGATTCTCGGAAGGACCTACAGGGGCCTGTCAGTTGGTTAAAAGAATCCGGAAAGAAAGGGATTTTAGGAAGACTGATGATGCTCCTGTTACCTCTCATACCTCTCATCATCGTATTGATGGTGAATCACAGCGATGCTCGTGAGTATCCCAAGTCCTCTTTGCTCCTAACTGGAAAGCTGAGGCAGCCTAGGAGGAACAGCGTTTCTTCCTGAAACTTGTGGTGAAATAATGAAGAAGCCAGGGGCAGAAAAGTGTATATATTTAGCTCAGGACTTGTAGGAGCGGTGAACTAGACGAACAGTTTTCTAGTTCATGTCTGTAGGATTTTGATGTCATTCATCTTCTGAGGGGGTGGAAACCATTCTGGGACCCTCCTGAGTAACCTCACTTTTCCTCTGAGCATCGCTCTGGCTTTCTGCTTATATCCTTTCTTTCACTTTTCCTTCTCCTTTTGTCTAGCTTAATGAGTCTCACAGGGTTATGGTCAGGGTTTCAGGGGCATTGAACAGGGGAACAGATCCGTTGTTCAGGTTTTTTTTATCCATTTCCTCCTCACCACCAGCCCTAACGTAACGAAAGATCCAAGAAAGATAAAACCATAGCTCTGGATTTATTTACGGGATGTAAGAAATACAATGAAGTAGAAAGAGAAACTTTTCATTGTTTAAGGGGCCCACATCACTGGGGAGACAAATCCCTTCTGTTGGCCTGAATACATGAGAAGGTCCATAGGCTGTGAGCACCAGGCTTCTGTGCCCTAAGTAACTGCTCTCCCAGCTGGGGCTGGCACTCCCAAGAGGATTGTCTGGCAGTGTTTGGAGCCCTGGTGGCACAGTGGTTGAGAGCTTGGCTGCTAACCAAAGATCGGCAGTTTGAATCCACCAGCTGCTCCTTGGAAACCCTATGGGGCAATTCTTCTCTGTCCTGTAGGGTCACTATGAGTTGGAATCGACTCAACAGCAACAGGTTTGGTATTTTTGTTGTTGTTGTTCAAAAGTCAGACTGGGCCACCACCATTGGTGATGACTTGTGAACATGACAGGAAGGAGCTCCTCCAAATAATTCATGTATTAATTCCACAAATATTGATTGATGGCCTACTATGTGCTGAGCACTTTTGCGGATATGACAGTAAACAAGACAGACATAGTCCCTGCTTCTATTGAAATGTAATCCAGAAAGTCCCACCATTCAAATCAAAAATGCGAAAGATTGGAGGTGAAAGTAACAGACAGATGATGGAAAGAAGGAGGGAGGAGGGAAGTAAAGGATGATATTCTCCTTTCGAGAAGTGAAAAAGCTTATACATTGCCTGCATATGATCCTCAAAGAATTCCAGTATTATGACAACAATAGTCCCTAAACATATTCTCTCATGTGATGGTCTCAATAACATTTTGTGGTAGGCTAAGAAAATATCCCCATTTAAGATGAGGAAACCTAGGTCTAGAGAGATTGACAAAGCTCATGTAATAGTGTCTGAAGTAGAACCCAGGTGTTCTGGCCCTCGATCCATGGCTTTTCCACAGTATCACAGTGCCTCTGAATGTGGACGCTCGGCACTTTGATAATTGATGGAGTGAGAAATAAAATTAGTAAGTTATAAAGGGTAGGTTAAGGTGACTTTATGCTGGTTATTCTACTTTTGACTCCTTAGACTCATTCTCTGTCCTTCTGTGTCCTGCTCTGTGTCCTGGGAGGCTGACTGCTACAGAATGATCACCCAGGCTGTCTTACTGGCTGATCTGTTTGGGTTCAGCCAATGGAAGACACTGAGAGGAGAGAGGAGATCAGAGAGCAGGGAGGAAAGAGAGGTTGGGTATTTCTTGCTCCTTCTCCTCCTTCTGCAAAGTCTCTGGCAGTAGCTGTATTCCTTCACAATATAGCTTTCCCTGAATAGCCCCTTCTTCATATTCTAGCTCCCATTTGCTACTCCTATCTCTTCAAACCTGGAGGTGGTAACAGCTTCCCACAGTTGCTAGTCTCTTGGTGCATCATTATGTCTTGTTTATTCCCTTAACCTTGCCCATGTCTCTGCAAGGAGTCCCTTCACTGAGGTCTCTTTATGTAACTCATCTTGGGCAAAGGCTGTTTCCTGCCAGGACCCAGACTGAGAATTCCCAAGCTTTGAGAGATGTGAAAACAGACTTAGTCTACTTGATAGGGGTACTTAGTGCTTACTCCGAATAGGAGCTTCTGTGCTATTGCTAGACAGGAAATGCAGGGAGAAGATATCAGAATGTTTGGGGTCACAACTCCAGGAAATGTCAAGATAACACCAATATCACTTCTATTGTATCCTTTTCATCAACTCCATAGCCTATGGTTGACTGCTCTTTCCATCATGCTCTCATAGCCCCTATTCACAGTTCTATAATTTTCTATTTACAAAAATCTTCCCTCTGACACTTGGATCTCAAAGAAGGCAGAAGGAGACCTCCTCGCTTTTCTCTTCTTTATTTCCTCAGCACTACCTAGTGTACAGAGCCCTAGTGGCACAGTGGTTAAGAGCTATGGCTGCTAACCAAACGGTCTGCAGTTCGAGTCCACCAGCTGCTCCTTGGAAACCCTATGGGGCAGTTCTACTCTGTCCTATCGGCTCTCTATGAGTTGGAATTCACTTGATGGCAACAGGTTTGGTTTGGTTTGGACCTGGTGTACAATTGTTGTTGTTGTGTGCCGTGTGTTGTTGTGTACAATAGGCAGTTACACATAAGTGCTGAGTGGATTTATGTTCTAAAGTACTAATGCCTCTAAGAAATTGAAGGTTCTATAAGCCATAGAGAGCTTGGGCAGCAATGACGACAGCAAGTTTACAACTGTGGTTTACTGTAGTTAGAGAATTTGTATTTTTTTAAAAAAAAAAGGTGTCTCATGCCTTTACAACTCATTTTGTTCTTCATTTTAGCCTGTGTGAAACTAAACTGGTGATGTTGGTGGGTGTAATTGGGCAGGGGGCATGCACAGGATTTCTCTTGCCTAGCCATATGTGGTTTGTGTTTAATCTTGAAATAACCAAGGTCAATCTCTTGCTATTATTCAGAATTTTATGGATGAATCAGTCTGCTAAATCAATCTGCTGTATCAATCTGCTTCGTGAATGGTGGAGTCCTTCGCAGACAAGGACCGATGGTGGCTAAGCTCTCTAAGATGCAAACTTGGCTAGTGTTAAAAGGTAGATTTGCAGATTATCTGCTTAGAAATGACCTTGAGTTCAAAGAGTTAACATGAGAAATATGGGCACTTGCTATAAACTTTATTAGCCCTGACAACGACTTTAGTCTGTTTCCATGGAGCTGTCTCCAGGGTAGATGTGGTAGAAATCTCTCCAAGACAATGTTTCACTCCCCTAAGACCTTTACTTGGTTGACATTGAATGCATTTAAATTCAAGAATTTTTAACTAATTGGTAGATTTTTTCTGACTAGTTGGAATGTCTATCTATTCTCACTTAAAATCCATTGACTGCATTCCTTATACCCTGGAGAATTGCCAAGAACTGGAGAGAAGGGGCCTAGGTTAAAGATCAGACACATGACTGTTCAAACACTTTTATTTTATAAAATCCAAATTAGACAGATGACAAAGGGCATTCTTTCTGACATCTGAATTTATATTTATTATGGAAAACCTTTCAGGAGCATACATATAAAGCCAACATTTTGTTACAATGTCAATTAATCATTCAAAAAAATAAAATTCATGAAATTGGGATTATTCTGGGAAATAGGAGTGATATGGTCATCATTGTGTAGGGAGTCTACTTAGAAAAAAATCCACTGGAAATCATTCATTCATTCTCCAAGGCCCTAACTGGCCCTTCAGTAGTCTCCTTACTATTCTTCAAACACACCAAGCATGTACCCTCCTCAGACTATTCTATCTGGAAAGTTCTTTTGGTATAGCTCACTTCCTCACCTTATTCACATCTCTACTCAAACACCACTTTCTCAGAGAGGCCTTTCCTGGTCTCCCTATATAAACATGCAGCCCTCTTCACACTCCCTTTCTCTGCTTTATTTTTCTTCATAAATTTTCTTACCACCTGACCTTGTGTTATATATTTATTTATTATTGTTAATCTCCCTTTAGAAATTAGCTCAGAGGGCTGGGACTTTGATTTATTCATTGCTGTATCCCTAGCAGCTAGGGCTGTGCCACCTGGAAATTCAGAAAAGAATAAGACCTATACAAAAGGAGACATTGGTAACCTTCCAAAGAATAGCCTCAAAAAAGTAGCTGAGACGTCGGACTGTCTATTCAACGCTTTTAGGCCCTCAATAAGTTCCTGTTGTTAAAAGGGGATAGGGGACCTAATGGTTTTTACTGCATGTAGGCTATCTACATACCGCACGGTTGAAACGTGCCCAGAGGTCCTTTTAACTAAAAATATCATCATCTCCTCATTCCCACAATGCCTGGAATTCCAAAGAATGGTTCCCAGGAATCATAATCATTTGAACCATATTAAAGCATTGGGCTACTAGGGAGGACCAACAAATAATGCGGATTTCATTAACCTGGTTATCCAATCAGGGCCCACTGCTACTTGTAAGAAGGTCTGGAGCCTGGGCCCCCCAGGACTGGGAAACTGGGGACAATGAGTCATCCTTGACAATGATGATCCAAGGGCCGGGAGTCTGGAACTGAGCCTGGGCAGAGGAAGAGCCACCACACTAGGGCAGGTTGGGTAGTCTAAGGCTGGCAGGCTTCCCATCTGAGAGATCAGAGTGTGATTCCTGGCTCCTCCACTGATGAATTCTAAGGATGATTCTGGGCAATTAATCTCTCTCCACCTACTTTTTGTCTGTGAAATAGGGATTATAACATCAAAGGGTTATTGTGAGGAGTAAATGAAAACCATGCTTATCAAGGGCTTAGCGTGGTACCTTGGAGTTAACCAAACAGTTAACGCACTCAGCTGCTAACTGACAGGTTGGAGGACCAAGGCCACCCAGAAGTGCCTTGGAAGAAAACCCTGGCAATCTACTTCCAAAAAATCAGCCTTGAAACCCTTATGGAGTATAGTTCTACTCTGACACATATGGGGTTTCCAGGAGTCAGAATTGACTCGATGACAACTGGGTAGCATGGTACCTAGCACATGGTAAGAAACCAAAAATCCGTTGCTGCTGAGT